CAATCTCTAATGTTAAATATTAAAACATAAAAACCTTTATCAAAGTATTATAAACAATAAAAGGGATGACTTTTTTAAAATTTATAACAACAGCTAATATGCAAACAAAAGGTGAGTGAGCGTAGCGAACGAACATCAACCTGGAGGCGAGTTAGCGTAGCGAACGAGCTAACCTGAAAACAAGTGAGCGCAGCGAACGAGCTCCAACCTAAAAGTGAGTGAGCGAAGCGAACGAACATCAACCGGGACGTGATTGAGCCATGCGAATACTTATGAAGTTAAACGGGGCAAAGCCCGTGGGTACAGCTAGTTAACATATAATAATTGTATGGATTCCCTTACATTCAAAGTCAAATATATCATTAGTTAAGATATTTCACACATTAATTTACACAAAGAGATAAAGATTATTGAGTAACATTAATAGCCAAGTAACCCACGCAAATTTCAACTAAATACTCAAATTTTAGTGAGTCAAGTGAGGGAAACTTTAAACGATTAAAACTAAATAAAATACAAGTGTGGCTAAAAAATCTTCCTTTAATAACAGAGCTAATCGTAGATCTAAGCATGTGATGGGTCTTTGAAGCCCATATTTGTGTTATTCAGACCGATCAATTCTCCAGAAAAAGAAGACCACTTCACTTATTGACATTTTGCTACATAGTTTGAAAGATTTGTCTACACCAACAAGGCTGATTGTGCGTCACCTTTTTACTTATTAAAGCTCCATCTAGTTGCTCCGTGTCATAGGAGTCCGTTGCTTTTGGGTTATCATTGGTTCCGAGTTTGTAGCTTTTAAAATCTCAATGGTGAATCCAACCATACCGAGAAGAAACCCGGGCTTCCGTCAATTGAAGGTTGTACATATGTGTTGATTTACGATGTCTGAACTGTCTAAACACTCCAAACCGTTGTAAATATGACATTCTGGAGTGGTTCTGATTACGTTTGTAGTCCTGCGATGAGATACTATTATTGCCCTCTTAAGAAACGTTGGTATAAAAAAACATTCCAATCTTGTAACGAATCTCCATCTCATGATATTCAACCATCCCTGAAATAAAAGTCGGCTTCCAGCAACTAAGAGGTTGTTTGAAGTAGTGGTTCTTTGACCGTGGACCTTAACCGTCAAAGAAAAAATAAGACGGATAGGTAGCTGTAGGGTGGTGCGATTTTATTAGGCATACAACTTAAATAGGTAAATTTAATGTCAACAACCTGTTCCAAACCTGAGAAGAAACTGTCGATGGTAAATAACTATTCCTAAGAGAAAATTCTACTTAGGCAAATCAACTAGAAAAATTATTCGTAGTTGAGACTTATTGACAAACTAAAAAGATAGTCGTGGATGGTTTGAGGTGGACATGATCTGATAGCACTCCTAAATCGAAACTTGGGGTTCTTAGTGGAGTGATATTGCAATGAACTGATCGCCAAGGGAGAAGGACTGACATTAGAGTACCACTAATTGCTCTCAAGGCCACATAGGAGTGAAGATTCCACGGCAATATTATAATTCAATTTATCACTTTATCACACCTATGCTTCTTGCTTTTGTTTGTGGTTCTCCAAGCACTTGACCAATCAATTTCTTCCCACCCTTGATAGTATCACTAGTGTAACAGAACAAACTAAATATTCTTGGAGCTTTAGATTTGTCGAAACAGGTAACAACACTGACTAACAACACTTGGTAAAAATTCAATAAATGGCCTTTAGCAAGCCATACACTACCCATTATTATTATTATCACATTACCCATTATTGATTATTGCTCCAATGTTACGAAGAAACTTTCGTAATCGTTTCAAATCAATCATGGCAATCATTGATTTAACAAGTATTGTCAAATATAGGTTGTTAGCTTTAAAGTAAACGTGTACAATACGATTAATAGGTTCTAAAACCTCTTAAAATGTGTTAGTAATAATAATTAATTTTTTATCACATTGACCAAGATTGACTTAATTTTTATCCAACAGTTAAAACTTTGGACCTTGGTATTTGGTCATTTTGACTGGAAGGTAACATGTATTATCAGAGACTTTTCAAGCATTATAAAAACAGAATATTTCTTTTAAAAATGTCATCATCCATCGTGATATATCTTTAATTTCAATCAAATCCTTTAAATTACACAAAAACATGATACTATACAGGTAATTATCCAACTGAATAGATAAATTGAGAACATTTAAAATTATAACAAATTCAACCAATCGAATAATTAATTCAGCCTATGGCAAAGATTTGATTTTAAATCGTTTAGTGGAGAATTTGCTTTGTTAATCTGTTGAGGGAAGTGTGTGTTTAGCAAACCGTGACTCGATCAAACAAACTGGATTAGGAAACCTCACATGATCATCACTGCACTCACCTTAGGTGACATGCAGTTTAAAGGAACGTGATTCAAGCAACGGCGTCTTGCAACGGTTGCAAAAAACTGATCCATGAACTCACCTTAGGTGACATGCAGTTTAAAGGAACGTGATTCAAGCAACGGTGTCTTGCAACGGTTGCAAAAACTGATCCATAAACTCACCTTTGGTCACATGCAGTTTAAAGGAACGTGATTCAAGCAACGGCGTCTTGCAACGGTTGCAAAAACTGATCCATGAACACATGAACTCACCTTAGGTGACATGCAGTTTAAAGGAACGTGATTCAAGCAACGGTGTCTTGCAACGGTTGCAAAAACTTATCCATGAACACATGAACTCACCTTAGGTGACATGCAGTTTAAAGGAACGTGATTCAAGCAACGGCGTCTTGCAACGGTTGCAAAAACTGATCCATGAACACATGAACTCACCTTAGGTGACATGCAGTTTAAAGGAACGTGATTCAAGCAACGGCGTCTTGCAACGGTTGCAAAAACTGATCCATGAACACATGAACTCACCTTAGGTGACATGCAGTTTAAAGGAGCGTGATTCAAGCAACGGCGTCTTGCAACGGTTGAAAAAACTAATCCATGAACACATGAACTCACCTCAAGGTGGCATGCAGTTTATAGGAACGTGATTCAAGCAACGGCATCTTGCAGCGGTTGCAAAAACTGATCACCATTGCCAATGCAACACTTTAAGGACATGTTAACTTTTGAATCTAAATAACAATACGTTAACCTATCCAACAACCGAATTATTAATAGGGACTTTTTAACACTTTTCATTGAAATGGCAACCATATAAAGTAGGTATTTTAAGCCAAGTATGAATGGATTACCATCGTTGTGGCAAAGTTCGCAAAAAATGAGTAAGCAGCTATTACCGTAGGTCCCATGGCTCATGGTGGTATGGTCTTGTGGTAAGACTTGGGTCTAGGGCCGATTTACTTTTTCGTTTTGATGTCCCTAGAGGCAAAAACAAAAACCCAATCAAATTCATACATAATGTGTGTGTGTGTGTGTGTCCGATAGCACGAAAACACGAGTTAAAGTCATTCGATTTTGATGAATTGCTGTACAAACATGTAAACCTACGTTTCGAGTACACGAACCAGCATGATCGGATGATGGGAACAGGGTTTTCTCATTTTCACCCTCAACACATAAAACTTCCCAATTTCTCTCCAAACCATTTTGAAGAGCAAAAAATTCAATAATTTAATATGTTTAAGTGTTTTTGTAAGGCTATTGGTTACAGATAAAATTTAAAGAATTGTAAATATAAAATATCCATGTTATTTATTATGAAGAATTAGTAAGCTGTTGTAGTTTGCTTGTCTATGGTTTTTTTTTTAACTTGGCAGATTTATTTATTTTATACTAAAAGCTGTTGGTATTTTACTAAAAGCACACTTCATTCCCCTCAATGTAGCAGCAAACCTAGGTACTCTTTAAACCTATAATGTTATTTAAATAGATTTAAATGAAAATCCGACGAGGTAAATGGAAACGCTAAGTCTGTAGGATTGCTGTGGTAGGGGGTTTAGAATGTACGAGTTCTAAAAAAAACACAGTGAATACTCTACAAATTCGATGTTGGAAACAGCAGACAAATATTAAGAAGGGTGTTATTTGGTTTGTTCAGTCTGGATCGTCTGATCAATAGGTCTCCTCACCAACTATCAGCAAACCTAACCTCTAACGACCTCTAGAGTCTAGACCAGCCGTAAACTTGTAAACTTACATAGTACAAGGCTAAGGCACGATTTTGCAAAACAACTTGACGACGTTGAGAATATGTAGAACATATTAATAGTCTGCAGGGACTGTCTCAATCGATAGAGCCTAGCGCGCGATGGACGTTCCTAACCTAAAAGGGGCCGTTCAACGATTAGCGTCGTCGTATGAGATGGTTTTGTATTTTTCGTCAACTAATAAGTTTATCGGTTGTATACGATTGCCTGCACATTTAAATAACAAATAGTTTTTTAGTGAAAATTTGATTCTTTTCCTTGTCAATAGTCTATAAAGATTATATTACAATTTTGTTCAGACAATTTTGTACCCTACAAAAAAATAGGCCTAAGCAACGTTTTAAAACCTCTACATTAAAAAGTGCTGATTGAGTTTACAAAAATAAGATTTCAAACACAGATTGTAGGTGAATAATTCTGAATTCTGGATAAACTCACAAATTGTGTATTAAATAATGACACACTGAGGTGTCATAATTTTTATTCACTAGCGAAGATGGATCTTCAAAAGTAATTTTTCCTACCTAACTTCTGACAATCTGTTTTACATGGGTTCTCTCATAATTGCACTCGAGATTCCTTAAAGGGTTGAGGGAGATTAACTGTGTGTGTCCGTTGAAACCGGTGCTTGGTTTCATCGTGATTCCCTTTTATGTCGTTTGGCTTTTCAAGGATTTAATGATGAAATTGTCATTTTATGTGACCAAAGGATGGTGAAATTCCCTCCTAAGATCGTTCACAACTTTGCAGAGAACTTTTCAGCGGCGGGACAATGGACCAGCTTTTCATAACGATGGCCAGGGTATTGTTTAACGTCACATTACCCTTTTTCTCTCTGCATTCCCTCTACTTACCCCGAGGTTGACACGGAGACCCTGCGCCGCTGGTTTCTCGCCGCCATAGTCGTCGTATGACGGGGAAGGGGCGCATCGCAGAAGTCACATCACCCGCGCACTTCACTCACTCACTCGCGAGTGGGCCGCGGACCGTTTCACCGAACGCTCGCAGCGCTGTGTGGCCACCCGGCGAACTAACCTGGCCCACCCTGCCGACGCCGACGGGCATCAGCTGCTAGAAGAGGTGAAGTGGGGACACGTCGTCTGTAGCGAATTGGTCTAATTTAATGATATTTGGCGATTTACAGGATACCGTAACTTCATGATTAGGCACTTTTAAATGAAATTTAGTAAATTCCAGAAAGTGGCCAACCCAAAATGGATTATTAGTAGCTGGAATTTATGCTGTAACAGTGGTTATAATGTTCACCTGTCATCAGAAGGTCGCCTGTCCAATCCTTAAATTCGCTAAAAGGCAGTAATCAGGGGCGGCTCCAGGAAAAATCTTTTGGGTAGGCCTGACAAGGATCAAGAAGGAGTTTGATCGGGGGACAAGAGGTTATAGCTACCTGGCCCTGCCCTCTGGAGCCGCCCCTGGTAGTAATACAGTTTATAAGGTTTGGATTTTAAACTGAGCCTAGGTGCCCTTGATAAAGTTATCAAACAGGGCTATAATAAATTAACATGGATAAAGAATCACAGTGGGTTCAATTATCAATCAATCAATCAATTATGGTATCAGTTTATTGAGATGGGGACGCCACCTAGGTACATTTTAACCCAAATATGAGTGAAGGATGAGAGTAGAGTGGTGTGAGATGATCTGTGTAGCTTTGTTACTGACTAAGATCAGCTGTTCATCAATCTGGATAATTTAAGCCCAAAATGAACAGGAACAGCTGGGTCCATTTTCAAACCAACCAAAATCTACAATCTTTTCTTAGGCCCCGGCCACACGAGGCGAAGTTAAGCCGCGCGGCTTATCTTCGCGCGAAGTGCCTGGCCACACGGGGCGGATGAACCGCTTCCTGTTGGGTTTTCCCAGTATCAGTACTCTATTAAAACATAGTTCAGTTCACTCATTTTAGTCATGGACGAAACAAGTATGTTATAGTCCTCGCCACCCTAACTTGAGGCAGCCCAAGGCCGCACGCCATATATCTAGTGCGGCCTTGGGCAGCCTCAAGTTAGGGTGGCGAGGACTATAGTTTGAGCATTAGAAGTGTGTGGTGATCTGGAACCAAATGTTAACAGAAATGATTGGGTGCATCCCTTCATAACAGAGAAAACCATTTGTGTTCCAAACCATTTACGAGCACATGCGAAACCATAGTTCCGAGTTTTTTGGTCATTACCGTGTGTTTGTATCATCTTTGACCAGTTCAATAAGCTTGTCTGTATCAAATGTACTTTTTGTTATTAGTTTTAAGCAGTATGTACTGAGGAACGCTTGCTAAATAAAGGCATTTTTATTTATTTATTTAAATATTGTTTAAACACCACACAACCGGTAACAAACACACAAAACAAACTCAAAAACCACTGGTAATGTCCGAAGAATATCTCCAATAAGCGCGGCTGCCGCGCGGTCGAACCGTATCGTGTGGCCACTCTCATAAGACTACGTGTGTCATCCCCTCCAACGCGGCTTAACTTCGCGCGGTCGAAGGACGACATGGCGCGGCTCAACCGTACATGCGGCAAAACTTCGCCTCGTGTGGCCACTATCATTTTGATTCAATGTGTTGTCGGTCCCCTTAACTTCGCGCGGTTAAACCACCTCGTGGGGCCGGGGCCTTAGGATCAAACCAGGAACCTTTTTGATTGATAGGTGAGCACTTTGATAGGCACTCAGCTATCCAGCCAGTTTAAGCTTTGGCTATGGATAGAGCTCCAATATAAAAAGACTCGATGTTTTTAGTTAATAACAAACAGGGGTAGCTCCAGAGGGCAGATTCTCTAGAGGAAGACATAGAGGGGGTTTTCAGTTAACCCTCTCTTTTTAATAAATATTTAGTAACATTTATTGATTAAAGGTGGACGTAACAGACTTAGGGTAAGTACCTGTTTATTAATATCAAATTAGTTACAAATTAATAATCAAAAAAAAATTTTTACTTTCTGCACAGATATTATCTATTTCCATCTACTCTCTATTACCCTGCATGTATACTAACCACAACAACATGAACTACTTGGAAGGACAGAGTTAAACAGTTCCATACAATTGCTATTTTTACTGTAGGTGTTGTGAATAAAATGTATAGTTTATTTATTATTATAATGTTTTAAATGGTTGGTTGGTTGGTACACCTGCGAGTGTAGCTTTTAGTCTTTATTCATTATCCTAGCTCTCTCTTAAACATGGCTCCTTGTATGTAACTTTGTACCTACGTTATAAATTATAATAAACTAGTGTACGTGTTGCTCGAAATCGAGCAATTGCAAAGAAGTACAGGGGCCCATCTAAATATATAAAAGGCAAAGCCCTCACTGACACACACACTCACTCACTCACTCATCACTAATTCTCCCACTTCCCATTTACCTAGGAGGCTGAAATTTGGTACACCGATTCCTTAGGCATTAAATAGGAAAACTAAGTTGTTTTTATTCTGATCGGACTCTCGGGCTCCGCCCCAGTGGCTCTGGAGTTTCCCATGTTAACCTTATGATTTTTCATATTTAAAAGGAATTAATGAATCTTATCAGCTGTTTCAATTAAACAAGTAGGTTCTGTTCTATGATGTTCAATAGCTTTAAAGTTACAAGGATTGCCAACAGGGTGCAGCACTATTATTATTTTTTTTAAACAGCTAATTTGCAACCTAAAGGTGAGTGAGCGTAGCGAACGAGCTAACCTGAAGGCAAGTGAGCGCAGCGAACGAGCTCCAACCTAAAGGTGAGTGAGCATAGCGAACGCACTTCAACCAGGACGTGATTGAGCCATGCGAACGAGCTCATCTTGAAAATTAAGAAGTTAAACGGGGCAAAGCCCGCGGGTACAGCTAGTTTCATAATAAAGTACAAACTAATATTATTAGTGTAATCAGCTGATTGCCCAATGCAAATCTAATGGAAATCACAAGTTACAAGTTGTAACTTGTAACTTATGTAGTTTATTATGAAATGGACCCCAGGAGTTATTTATAAACAAATAACTTGTTTAAAAACTAATAAAAGTAATAATTTCTGATAATTTTAAAAGAGTCAATTAAATTATTAACTAATGGAAATACTCACAATTTACATAACAGTCCTATTCCAGTTTAAAGCATAAATTTATAACAATCAAACTGCCCATGGATGAGAAAAGGTAAGCTTACAATTTAAGTCAACGTAAAAAGGCTGTCAGCTTTTATAAAGTACCGTACCTAAATTATTTAGCCAATTTGTAGGCAATAAGGTGTTGAATACGTTAAACTCTACAGGACAGAGTTAGGCAAAACTGGCAGAACTCTGAAATGGTGTTATTTATCATAGGCTTACTCATATGCCAAATCCTTAAAATAAAAGTTCTATAATTATAACATCATTAAACACAAACCAACATCCAAAACTATACACATTTTTAATACAACATAAATAATTTACACATTGACTGTTTGTAGGGTATAGGAACTTTGGAAATCAAAGGCGAAAAGCCCAGATAAATTTGTTGAGACCAAAACGCTGATATAAAGTATTAAGAGTTCTCCTTTATGAAATTCTATCATAACATAATATCTTGCCATCCGTTTTTTTTTTTTTTTTATAAAAAACAAGTTTATTAAAAAATAAGTTTCTAAAGATAAAACATTGTAACCATCAAGTTAAAGGCTTTAAAACACATCTATTACTATTTTTTGTATCAATCCGCCATGCTTTTGATTTTCAGGAAGTACCGGTACCTACTATAACCATTTAGCCACCTAGCAATAGCATCTGTAAGATAATTAAGTACAGTAATCAACTTATACATTTTGGCATATTCATATTCTAATTTACGGTACTCTAAAACTAATATTCACCTTTTTCCCACCAGGCAAGATATAGGGGAGAGCGGGGCTATACCGTACACATAAGGGAGATTCGTATTTACATCGCAAATTACGAAGTAAAAGTAATGTAAACACAAGCAATATATAATTTAATTATTTGGCTACTGATTGTATATAAACATTTTGGAACTATTGCATTTTTTACATGTAAAAATTGGTGATTAAAAAAAAGTTACATTGTACGAAATAGCCGCAGGGGTTGGGGCTATTCCGTACAGTAAAAAAGGGGCTATACCGTACAGTTCAAAAATAATTTGTTTAGGTTAGTAAAATAATAGTACTGCGACAAATTATTATACAAACACTTTTTATTACTATATAAAGGTTGTAGTTAAGAAACAGTGTATTACAATTTTAACATTTTAGAAGAAATTACATTTCAAAAATCAAACTTCATGAAAAACATGAAGTTTATGAAAAAGTTATAAAATTTCATCCCAAAATTAAAAGAAAGAAGAAAAAGTCCACAAATGTAGCATTGCAAATGTCCATGCAGCACTGCATGCTGAATGGACCCACCCTGAACATGAGCAGCACCCTGTACCAGAGCTGTACGGTTTAGCCCCAATCTGTACCTCGTGGGAATTTATAAACATAAACTCAAATTCGATCACTTAACCAATCATCGCTAATAACCAAAAGAGAGCTTAAGGGATGTAGTTTATTATGATCTCACAGTTAATTGACTACGTTAAAAGCTACTTCACTAACTTTTTATTTAGTACTGGACGAAAATTAGAAGCAAATGAGTAGAAACATGTTTTTTACTGAAACATTGAAACTAGCACACATAGCAAAACGACGCAGATACTATAAACTTGCGCATTCTGCTGCTAGATAGCAGCACTTGTCTGGATCACCTAGCTTGAATTCTAGGCCAAAAAAGTGGGTGTACGGTTTAGCCTCGCTGTACGGTTTAGCCCCGCTCTCCCCTACACGAACATGAACATGAAACAAGATCAAACTAAATATTCCACAGCACCGTATTATGAAAAGTTTAAAAACCAAATTTATATGGTTTTATTCAACTTAAAATTCTGCTACATTACAGAGAATTAACATAAAACTAAACATTTCATACATAAACAAAAAACAATCTTAAACAGCTTAAACAGCTGATGATATTAGACAGTTCAACAGTCTTAGCCTAAATTTATTATTTTTTTTTCGGTAGTATATCACATTATCCAAAATCGGATGATCCAAAGTTTATATTGCCGATCGGTTGATCCAAAATCGCAAGATCCAACGCTTAAATTGCAGATTGGATGATCCAGCCAACTATAACTGCAATAGGCATTTTATACTTCTATACAAACCCCTACCTACACACTCCTCTGTATAGGCTCATGCCACCTGGTAATAAATATTTTCAACACTTTTTTCTTTTCAAACAAGTTGGTTTTCAAAATTATTTTTGGTATTACAATTAATGGTTGCAGTTCAGTATTAAATTCAGTTTAAAAGAAATTGTTTGTGGAGCTACTGGTACAATCGCTATTGATGTCATGAAGACGACGCATCCCTATCACCGCAGGCACTCACACACTGACTGGTGTCGCGCCCATACGCACCCTACCACTACTAACTATAATAAACATTTAATTTGTCTTTTTAAATAACTCTGTTAAATAACCAGTTCTTGTACCCCTCTAATATGTATCAAGTCTGAGTGAGACATTTGTTCCATCACCTACACCTCTCTCCGACGGCTGCTACCATCCTACCTCTCGATGATACCACTCTCGGACCTTGCACACTTCGGACATCCCATCCCTGGACACCACTAAGGCCTCCAAGACATCCGTATATAGGTATTGGTAGCTTTATAATCTCCTTAGTTTGATTTTATTGTCTACATGCATATATAAATTTAAATTGCCTTAAGCGCTATTACCAAACAGTTGCTATAAACATAGCTAAAGTTTCAGAGAAATTTGATCTAGAAATCCATTACTCTAGAGTAGCCTATGGTTGTAGAGGCTTACTTAATTGATAGTTAATTACAACTCTGTTGGTTGGAAATTGGTTCTTATGGTTTAGTGGTAAATTGTAAAACGTTGAACTCCTATTCGTTTATTTATATTTAGCTTATTATTTGTAAATATTAAATAACAGCTTAATAGAGAGACATAACTTAATAGAGTATATGCAGTAGGCCTACCAGTAGGTAAGTAAAACTCACACACTATTGTTTTTATGGAGTGAATGAAAAATTGCTCAAAACCTCTGTAAAAAAAATTAATTAGCTTAAATATAATGGTGACATTTTGTATTTAAAAGTTTAATTTGACTGCATTTGAAAAAGAGGAGCTAAGAACTGACAAAAAATATTTTTAAGAGCTATAAGGAACTGAATCAGGTTTTAATCTAATAAAAAAACTACCACAAAATATTTTATAACATTATATTTCACAAAAATTAGCTACCGTGCGTGCGGTACATTACATCCAAATATCCTGTCTGAAAAAAACACACTTGCCTATCTGAAAATTATTTAAAATAAATAATGGCTTGAATAGCCTGTACAGATTTATCTACAGTAGCTAGGTTAAAGAACAATGGTGTCTTACTGTTATAAGTCTAAGTTGCTAAGTTACTTCTGTTTTTGTTTTCGCTTATTCTTTTTTTGAAGAGTAGAAGAATTAAGGGATTCTTTAGATTCCACTTGCTGGACTTGATCTTTTCTTTGGCACAATGGTTTTGATTGAGGAAACGAAAACATTTTTAAAAGAATTAAGATCAAATATAGCCCCATAGCAATTGCTAAGGGCTTAAGGAGCAAATTGAATTGAGAAAATTTGTACATGACTTTAAAATGTATTACATGTCCTTCAACAAGATTATATTTCTTAAACACTATCACTTCTCTGCAAGTCACATCAAAATAATAGCAAAACTTGGCTTCTGTTCTGTTTTCTATTTGAAAGTTGGGTTGTGGTATGGAGATTAATTGAGCCCTTTCTGGTAGAATAATGTTTACTTCTAATTCGTTGATAATCATATCATCAAATAGCTTATCAATCAGCGGAAATCTTAGCTCGTAGTAATCAAGACCATTTTCAGATACAAATTCACTTATCGGTAGAGTGTAGCCCATTTCATACTGTGTTTTCCATCCACCATACAGAATATGTCTTGGTTTTAGTGACACGACGACACCTTTAGGGTCTTGGTAGTCAACTTGAAAACTGGTAATCAAGCCGATATCATCTTTGACGTATATATCATCAGCATATTCAGGCAAAACTGATTGAATTTTTTCTATACTAGTATCTTGTGAGATAGATTTTTTGTTGAAGCTGAATTTGCGCTCAAATGGGCCTTTGAGTTTCGGTCCAGAATGATATAGTTTAACCTGGTCCCAAACCGATACAAACCCCCAATGGGAAAGCTTAACATATCGTTTCACCTTTTCAGCCACAATAAATGGTGAGTTATTTTCATAATGGAATACAGATTGGGTATTTTCAAATGGTTTCACATTGTAAAATGGTCCATATCTCAAACCGTATTCAGAATTGTTAGCAAGTTTATAATTAGCTCCATCAATTTGGGCAGCTTTGGCAGTTCCCATGTATAAATATGTACTTTGGACATGGGTAAAATACATGGAGTGATGGTAGATATTGAATGCAAATAATACCATGTGTTTTTCATTTTGCTTCACACTTTTAGGGTAGGACTTCAGATGGTTGGTAATTATCATGGATACCATAAAAGCTGTCGTTTCTCCTGAGTGAAGAGGCTTCGGAAATGAAATTGTGTAGATAAATTGTTCTTTGCCTGAATTACCAATTTTTGAAGTTTTCTTGTTAATGTCTAAGTGGTTATTTTTACCTTCATCTGTAGCTTCTATAAAGGACAAATGGTCAATGAAGTCAGTGTCAACAATGTAATCATAGGTATTGAGAGGATATGTATTGTTATTTATTACCTTAATATTAGAGTTGATGATTACTAGCTGAGTTGCGATGTCAATATATCTAACCACCATCAAATTTTCTAATCCAGATGAGGCTGATGCAACATGTAACAGAACTAAAATTGTTAGTATTTTGTTCAAACACATCATTGTTTCTTTATTTACAAAGAATAAAAATGACTGCACAACAGTATTGTTTAGCTATGGTGAGTTTTCCTGTAGATAATATTATTATAACATAGTTAGTTTTAAAAGAATTCAAACGAATATCAGTAAAACGACAACACACAACACAACAGCAACAGCTAACTAAACGCACAGCTGGTTTATGTTGTGATTGTTGCTTAATACAGGTTGGGCAACAATAGAATTATTTGACTCGAGTTAAGGCCCTATGATATATATATACAATATATTATACAGATGATACATATATTTTGCTTTAGTTAGCCGTGATGATAGGAACGAAAGACAAATTATTTAGCTAAGAGATAATAACCAAAACAAGCAGACTTCTCATCTCATTGTAAATTTTGAAGCCCGTTTTTCTCGTCTAGTTTATGTCCGATGACACGGATCGCTATAGTGTTGACGACATTTTCATAATTGGTGCTTTACTGTTTGGTTATGTAACTAGGGGACGAGTTGAGTTATTGTTTATGATTAGATCGTTTATTTGGTTGTAGGAGGTTTTAAATTACTGAAATAATAATAAACGAATTCTAAACAAAACATTTACCTCTACAGTGCACCGGACAGAACTAACAACAAAATTGGCTTCAGCTGTTCCATATGAGGATGAGAAAATCTACTAAGGGAGTATGTGTAAGATGTGTAATTTGGACAAACAATGGTTTATATTCACGTTCAATAATAATTTTGATTTTTACATTTTGGCCAATTCATCCCGTTGAAACTAATAACACGTTACTTGCTGATTAATGCAAGTTATTTTGCAGTTATGACTACTCCAACATTGGTACAGTACACTCAGTATCGCCACCAGGCACCAATCACTACCACTGAGCTACGGAGGTGGGGCAGCATTGAATGAGAGAATTGAGAGACGTTGGCCACCATAAAATGTACTAGGGCTGGTATAGGACATTACAGATATTGTACCATTGACTGTACTGCACTTGAACCTAGTGTATTGAACCCTGTACCTTAGTGCATAGGAACTACGGGCTGCGAATATGGGATTGTAATAAAGCCGGGTAAATGAGCTGGTTGATCCTTCTTGTTGGTGGTACCGACATCACAAGGTTTTACAGCTTGTCAATTTTCTATCAGAGTTGCAAGCGCTACCTCCAGTTGTATTTCTAACTCGGTTTGTGGTGACCAAAGCGCTACTAGTTTTTCTTGTGGGACCTTGATTAGAGGGATGTCCAACACTTTTGGAGAGATAACTTATAAGTTAGGGCCTAATGCAATTTTTATATTATCGTACCCATTGTCTAATGTCCTGTGGTTGGTTTTCACCCACTACTACAGTTAGATCACTATAGCCATTGATTATAAATCTCACCTATAATAAATGGTATAGCAGCTCAATACCTACATCTCACGATCATGCGTATAGGCTACATGCATAAAGAATCACGTGGAGCGCGAGCATTCTGTCGTCTGAATACTGAATCTCTAACCTAACCTAAAATACCTCCTCCTAACTTTTATTATTTTAAAAACAAGAAGGTACAATACGGTCAATATTTTAAATAGTATATTATTGATTTTTTTTTGTGAGATTCTTTACAGAACATCTTTCCAGGGATTTTATCATCACTGTTTGATAAATCTGAAAATTGTTTAATAAATTTTGGCATTTCAATAGCTTAAACTAGGTATTTACTTCATACAACATCGGTTTCAATGGTTTCTCAGACAATGTTAGACAACAGAGAAAGTGGAAAAAGTAAGTACAATTTTATTTCGATATACTTGTTCGAGCCAATTGTTGTATAATTTTATCCTAACCAGTGTTGCCACTTTTATGGTAATTAGGGCCTACACTTTTTTAGGGTAATTCACTACCGGTAGTCTTAGGTTTAGGGTAGTACAAAAAGTTAGCCTAACAATGGAAATTTAACTAAAAACGTGGGTAGACTTCTGTATCTGTTGGCACAAACAACCGAATGAAAATAGGTAACGATTATTCATTCGATATATCGTTTGGTTTAACTTAGTTAGGTTAGGTTAACCTTACCTAACTAACCAAACGATATATCGAATAATCAATATTTTCATTCGGTTGTTTGTGCCAATAGATATGGAAAACCGATACAATCTACCCAAAAACATGAAAAACCTTTAAAATTAGCAAAAAACATACGTTAGGCCTACTTATCATGGCAAACCGTGATATGTATGTGTCTCAACCGGTTAAAAAAAATTGATTTGCTATGTTCCATAATAATCGATCTTATCAATAGTTGTGAATTATCTGTTTTAGATTGTAGGCCAATTTTATTCTATAACACATTATAATAAAATATGAAATATTAAAAACATCGATTGCCATCGATGTTTTAGCCCCAAGAACATCAATGTTTTCGAGATGATGTTATCGGATCATCTATGGTTGACCTAGGCTCATCTAGCTACTTTTGTATCCATCACCCCCCCCCCCCTCCCCTCATACAATGGATACTTAATAGTGCAAGAGCCCATACTTAGATGACTTAACTGTTTGTTCTTATCTACGCCGGTGGCATTTTTTAGAGGAGATAAAACAGAGAGTGTTACGGTAAGCCTATTTAAACACTGTTTGGAAAAGCGGCCCAAACCCAAAAAAATGTTTTGGGGATCTGCCGAACTTGTCTCTTCCGCACCGAAGTCTGACTAACTACTATGCTAAGTTAGTAACACATTCCTTAACTTTTTGTGTGATCATTCATTTTTTAGGCTGACAGTTTGTCCAACTAAATTATTTCATTCATGCTATTGCTTACCAGTTTCTGCCTGGAGGACCATGATCTCTCACTTTTACCGTCCAGCCAACCAATATTTTTTATGTCTAAACTTGTCATATTAAAGACAAACTAACTTACCTGTTCCTATTACTGCCTTCTTGTTTGCAGCCTAGGATTCAAAACAAGTTTAGTTAGTGTTGGCAACAGTGTTCTCTACCAATGCCCCTGTGTGGAGAAGAAAAGTAAGCAGTCAAACAATCACCTTTGTTATGATTGGAATTGAGTGTGTGGGAATGCTTGTTTCCTCCATTTCACAATAAATTTATCCTCAGGTTACCACCTAGGAATCACCTAGAGGTCTTAAGGATGCATTATTCTGGTATAACTGTTTCCATATTATAACTGGTTTCAAAGAAATCCTAACAACCTAAATTTGGTTAATATGTTTTGGTTTTAGTTTCAGGTAGTAACGGAGAAGAAAGCATTACCCCTGAGACAGAAGCATTGTTCAATACTCCTTTCCATTTAGAACAAGAAGAAGCCATTACATTATCTAAGAACTATGTTTTGCACATGGATACTACCAAACAGTAAGTACTTAGCTTCAAAATCAGCTCTTTAATCATAGAATTCAACTTAGTTGACAATGTTCTATTGTTTCTTGTCTTCAAGCAATATAGTGCTGCTTTTTATGGTGATGCACTCAAACTGATGACAAATCCTTATTATCCACACTAGAGGTGTATTATTTATTTTTAATTATGTTTCAGCGGGTCAGAGCGAGTTCTTGCTTTAGGCTTGTCCAGTTATGAAGCTTGTGTTTATTCAATGGATACGTCACTTCGGTGCACAGCTACTTTGCCATCCGAAACAACTCCATTGGTGGATCTAAGGTTTGCTAATTACAGTAGGATTTACTGGTCTGCATTTTGCAATTTCTTTTGTATTCATGAAGTTTTGTTTGAATAGTGCTATTAATTTTACTTTAATAAAAAAAAATCATAGACATAAAAGCGCACCTCAAATACTACCCAAGCTAAAATTTAGTTTTCAAATTATAACTAAAAGGGTGCATGGATCCGAATATGATTAGAAGATGTAAGTAAGGCACCAGTAGGCCTATTTAGTTTTTTTACTTTTAATTTTAATTTGATTATCTTACAGGTTTGCTTCTTACAATCCCTCTTTGTTATACACTGGATGTAGTCAAGGAATAATCAAGCTGTGGGATTTAAGAACAACCACCAAAGCTGTACAAGAGTTCAGAGGTATGACTTAGCCTATATAAGTTAGTTTTGTAGTTTAATTAATGTCAGTGTAGTAAAATTTTCAATTTTCACCCATAGAGAGCATGTTGTTTGTATGCATCACAGAGTCTTTACCACTTGGCCTATACATCTATTTGTGAAAATGATAAACCGTTGGAGCAGATATCTCAGTAAAGTTCATTCTCATCTTGTACTGGCTCGCCTCTTGTTTTGATTCACATTCTACAAGCAGGCATTTGAAAGGTATTTGTTACTAGGCAAATTCCAAGTTAAAAGAGCCAAACTCTTAAAATAATATAAAAATCCTTGGCTTTACAAGGGTTGGTTGGCATAATTTAATCAAATAAATTCTGATCCTGGGATTGTTTTCCTCCAACTTTATTAACGTAAGATAGAACCTTTTATTTCCTATCTATTATCTAACTTTACACCTGTTATAGACACATCAGACCCCAAGAGCAATGGGTTGCATGATAGGGAGTTCTGCAGTTTTGATGTCAACATTAGTGGCGGATTTGTGTGTGCTGGAACTGCAGTGACAGACGGAGATGCCTACCTTATGTTCTGGGACACCAGGAAAGCTTCGCTGCTCGGAGGTTATTGGGAGTGTCATATGGACGATATTACCCAAGTGAGTGGCGTAACTAAATCTGGGTTTTCCAACGTCAATATTAGGTGAGCGTATTCTGCAGAGCCAGCTCAGGAACGAAAATCAGGGTTGATAAGCTAGATGCTGACCTGAGGAAGGTTTTTATGTTGCAAGTTTGAGCATGGGGAGCGAGCTGGCGTAGTGGTTAGAGCGCGGGACTTCAGTCCCTGAGGTCCCGGGTTCGATCCCCGCCAAGTCACCAATGAATTCTATCTAATTGATAATGCCACAACCCCTAAGTCTAGCCTGAAGTAATGTGAAAACAATCCCAGGCTCGTGCCTAGCGTCCTAGGACAAAAAAAGTTTGAGCATGATAATTCAGGTACAGGGTGTCCACATTCTGGAATGTCAGGGATAGTCATGGAAAGTCATGGAAAAAAATGTTGGTCATTGAAAGTCAGGGAAATAGGCAAGAAGTCATGGAAAGTCATGGAAATTTCCAATCATGGATGGATTTGAGGGGACCATTCAATGCTCTAGTCAGCTGTAACCCGGACTGTTGTAGCATTTTTCAGGATTTTTCACTAATGTTCGACAATTCAATTTATTACAGTTGTTTTATTTTATGAGTTTTCGGTTTGTTTTAGTTCATTGTTGTACCTATTGTACTCCATTGTTATCTGTTATTACATATTTCAGTATTTTCTGCAAAATAACATGTCCAGGCACTTATATTTGTGTGTGTATGTTATATTATAATTTGCGTGTAAAGTTCGTGAGTCATGGAAATCAATGGTAAATGGTCATGGAAAGTCATGGAAATTAATGACAAATTTTTTGTGGACACCCTGAGGTAGCTTAGTTGAAAGTTGAGCCGTTAGCTAATCTAGTTTAATTTTACTGTTGTATGCAGAGTCAAAGAACAAAATTAGCCTATGTCAGAAAGTCTTATTATGTTGCCATTTGTAAATATTTTAGTAGGCCTATTTAGTATGATTTACTGTGACATAGTATGAGTGTGAGCCACAGTAAGTATAATAAACAAATGCTGCATAATTTATTCTTATTTTTGACTCATGAAATGTCTTTGAAAATTGCTTGGTAATGTCCCCACAATATTTTTGTATGTTTTTTACAGTGAACATAATCACGCTGTCAATGAGCATATCAAGCACAATTATGGCTTATTTCAGTTATTTCAACATCGGTTTGTTTTTCTCCCCTGGTAAAAGTGTGTCCCAATATATTTGTAGGTGTGTCTTGTTCGTTGAGGGAGTTAAATGGACGGATAGTCAAGAGTTGAGTCGATTCCACAGATTCTCAATTTTTTAAGATTATTCTTGTATTTAGAATCAGAAATTGATTACTTGTAGGCTATATTTGGTATGAAGTCTACTATTTGCTTCATTATAGGCTACAGTAAGTTCTTAATTTTGAACACTTCACGACCAAACTAAAAATCAAGCCTATTCAAATCTATATTTTATGACCACAGTGAACGACTAAGTTGTGACTTGTAAAGGAAATTGACGCTGCATCTCTTGACTTTTTAGGTTAAGTTCCATCCCAGTGAGCCTGACAAATTAGTTACTGGGTCTACCGATGGTCTGATAAACATGTACGATATCAGTCAAAGTGATGAAGACGAAGCTCTGCTGCAGTCGTTCAACACTGAGTCATCTGTTGTGAGTCTAATCATGCTAAATACTCCATGGCACCATGGCTATATATAGATAAAAGTTAATTTGTTAAGTAATTTATTTCTAGAAACTTTCTCAGTTATGAAAAGGTCTGATCTAGAAAGAACTAGGCCTATGAATTATTTTCTGTGTACACCTATATTATTTGTTAAATTAGAAAAATGGTTTATACTCTAAAGACGAAATGTGTGTGATGGTTGATCCAAGAGTGCAAAGTCTTGAACACTTTGTGAACCGTTTAAAACCTGACTCAGCTCTCTGGCATTGAATATAAGGCTAAAATCCAAACTAAAGAATCTATGTCTTGTAACACAAACACTATTCTCTAAACATGTTTTACTCATTCTGTGTAGTGAAATATGAATGATGTGGTTAATAATCCAACTGAACAAGCCCATTACTGTACAAATAATGTTTTGTGTAATTTAGAAACATACAGTAACAGTACCTAGTTATGCCTTGTAAAATTTGCCATGAAACAAACATAATATTGCAACTATTAAACACTAACTCCTTTGAATCTCTTCAAGCAGTATTTCTGCTACTCTTACAAAAACTAATGTTTGTCGACGGTGCTCAGTAATACACTTTTTTAGTTATCCTGCACTACTGAAGTCCCGAACATGTTGCATTAGTCGTATTAGTGTCTGTCTACTGAAGTTAAAGTAAGCCTCTAACAAAGTATGCAGCTATTGATGACTGTCGGTTGTTTTTGCCAAATTCAACCAAGCCAAATAGCGAGTAAATTTGACAGTAAATAAATACTATACAGGAATCATTGTAAATACTGTAAGCTATCCTTGACATCTGTCGTAGTAACAAAAATTTAAAAAAATTAAATTTTGACAGTAACACCGTTTAAGAGGTTTATTCAATTACGTTATCATTGGGTAAAAAACTTACTACAGCTGGCCAATAAACAAGGAATATTTACCTCAGAATCCAAAGTCAATGCTAATATTACATTGTACTACTATAATGTTAGTTCTAAAAATAATTGGTTAAATAAAAAATGAGTATTAAACATTTGAACAAGAGATTACCAACTCTGTTTTGTTGTGTGACAGGAGAAAGTCAAATGGCACGAGGGGTCTGAAATGTCAATCTCCTGTGTAACTCATACAGCTGATGTTCAGTTGTGGCATCTGGAAGACGGAGCCCCTTACAATAGCTTCACCAGAGAGGATATGGAATCTGTTGTACAGGTCTGTGCTAGACAGAGACTTTAGTAGTTATTATGTAAAATGTAAACACTTTTTCGTCATACTGCAGTAAAAACAGCTGTTTTTAATGCATGCGTTGCGGGCCTTAAGTAGCATTTTTACCTTCTAGGGAGTAAAAATCATTTTCAGTCCCTAGGGAGTAAAAATTAGCTGTTGTAAACAGTTGATGTGATTGCCACGATAAAAAATATTTATCAATTGATTTATTAGGTAAGGTGTTACCTGTTGTTGTCGACCACTCGACATATCGATGGTATAATGTACCACAATACTGTAACAGAATCGTAATAGACAAAATGATTAGTAAACAGCTGCTTATTTGCATTATCAGAATTGAAAACAAGCTGGAAGTCGTTTTGAGATGTTATTTTTACATACAAATTATTTCGTTTTCTAGCTTAGTTTGTTAACTAATTATGCAATATGACGAAAAATTAACCCTCGCTCATTTTCCGACCTCGGCTTCGCCTCAATTGTAAAACTTGACCTCGGGTCAGAAAGAGTCACTTTAGACCCTAGTGAAGAAATATACTATTTTTTGTCAGGAAGATGATAATGTAGATTAGTAGACTTAAGCAAATCTTGTTGGGCATTAGTTTAATTTTTTAGTACAATAATGTATACTCAAACAACTAGTAAACTTTTTATCTATGACCCAAACCGGCTTATCACATTCCTGGTTTAGGGTAGGCAGGAATGAAAAGACTAAACTGCAGATTTTTGGATGAGGATTCTATCTCACACCTATCCATCTTCCTGATTAAGACTTAGCTAAAAAAAAATTAGCTCTAGATGACCACAAGGAGTAATCTTCTCATTCCTCAAATAATACATATTTACAGACATTTCTGAACTACCAAAATGAGACTGAAGATATTGTGGCTTAAAAAAACTGTTCAAAGAAACACTTTTTAATGCTTGGTAAATAAAAATATATTTTCGCTTAATCTTTAAATAATATACACATATTTTTCTACTACAATTGAAAATTTTCAAGCTTTTGTTTGATTGTTTCAGATGAATAATAAGAACCTAGCAGAGAGTCTTTATGTAGCAGATGTCCATTCTACGTCACAACCAGATCAGTTTATGGTTTTGACTGGTTCAAATAAGAGCGTGTAAGTATATTCAAGTTATTAAATTTCTTATTATTCTAGAAAAACATTCCTAGTACATCGGTTCAAGATATAATTGAATAAAAGGGGGTTTTTACGAACATTAACGATGTTATAGAGACAATCACAACTGTAAAAATAACTCTCTTACCGTCCGCTAATCACAAAATGCAAGCGGATATATCCGCCTATAGTCTGGGAAGGGTTCAGGAGATATTTAAGTGAATATCCAATCATGTAAATAGAAATCGTTTAGTGTGCAGGTTTGATGCAACAGGGGTATTTTGTTGTTTAGATAGGTTGACCTTTATGTTAAGACGGGCTCCAAACCATTATGTTACCACAGCGTTATTATAATTACCTCCTCCTTTATCGAGACCGGCACAGCTGGATAGGTTGCGTCAAATTTCTAATTGAAACATTAAGAGTTTTATACACTAAAAACTTCCAAAGATATAAATAAAAGCAACTTTAAAAAATCATACTTTGGTGGTGAATGAATTCGCCATAGGCTTTAGTTCTCTATAATTTTTCATTGGAATAGTCTTGTAGGGTGTAGGCCTTCGGCTTTTCTTTTCACATTTTCTTCAGGGCAGTGCAAAAGCCATTTTCTTTCTGGTATTTATTGATACACATTATCCAAGGCATTCTTTCTCTAGGTTTTATGTACGGGTCTCAATCCCGGGATCCGGGCCGATTTTTTATACCTATAAATCCTGGGATTGGTGACTTTTAATCCCGGGATTAACGGGATTGCAAAACCTATGTTTATATTGATTTGTTTGTGAATTTGAGGACTTTTACTTACAGAAAATTAATAAAAAAAGTCCAATAACACTTGAAACACAGATACTCTTCATTTTTTTAGGACGATTATATGAAATGGCATAAGTAATGATCGTTTTTGATTGGAAAATTTAATTATCATTAAACTCAATAGGCCAAAGAATGTAGGCCTAAATATATGTTTCAGTTTTTAGACGATTTGGTTTTACTTTCTGTAAATGGTATTACATTAGTTAGAACTTACCTAATTACCGTAGGCCTACAACCTATTTTGAGTTTTACCTTTGACATTAAATGTAAACAACGTAATTCGTGTAGCAAACATAACATTGCAATCGGAAATTTAAGTATTATTTTCATTGAAGCCATAAAATATAACTATAAACACACAATTATAATCTCATTATTAAGATTGCTTATATTTAGGGTCTATAACTTTATCTTCGTATTTGGTTATTAGTGTGGTGATTAAATTTCTTACAATCTAAAATTACGTTTTTCATACACACACTACTACATAAGCAGATGGTTTATTGTTTTACAGTATCTTATATTGTTTTATTGCTGTCAGTCAAAATAACATTTTATGTTGCTACTCGTGATTCTTCCCATTTTATCTTTTTCTCTTAGCTATCTTTAATCTATTTATTATATTACAATTATACACCCACTCTGTAAACTTTTCAGAGCCAGCTTAGCGTTAGGACACATTCCCTTAGGGTGGTGTAATTCGCGTATCGCATTTATTCCTAAACCAGGAAGGGATAGTTACACTGACCCTAAGTCATTCAGACCCATTTCTCTATCTTCTTTCTTTCTTAAGATCCTAGAGAAGTTGGTCTCAAGATATATGATGGATACAGCTCTTAGGACACATCCTTTACATATTAATCAGCATGCGTATGTCTCAGGAAGATCATGCGAGACTGCGTTGCACCAACTTGTAAGCAAGATTGAGAAAGCTCTAGAGAGCAGTGAAGTGGCCCTGGGTGCCTTTCTCGATATTCAAGGTGCTTTTGACAATACTGGTACTCCAGCGATTCTTAATGCGGTGAGAGCAAGAGGTTTTCACGGTATAATATGTAGATGGATTGAATCCTTGCTTCTCAGTAGGAAGGTTAGGCTCTCACTCCACAATGATACGATCGAGGCAAGAACTACTCGAGGATGTCCTCAGGGGGGGGTTCTTTCTCCTCTACTTTGGAATTTGGTAGCAGACGACCTTATAAGGACCCTCAACGAAAGTGGGGTTTTCGCCTTAGGTTATGCTGATGATGTTGCAATCCTTGTGGTTGGAAAGTTCCACGGAACCATAACTGACCTTATGAATAGAGCTTTAAGGGTAGTGGACCGTTGGTGCCAGGATGTTGGGCTCTCTATAAATCCCAGGAAAGTTGTAATGGTACCCTTCACAAGAAGGAGGAAACTGGACGGGATCGGCCCACTAAGACTGCAGGGTACTGTAATAGAGCTGCAGAATCAGGTGAAGTATCTTGGTGTAATTTTGGACAGATCACTTCACTGGGGACCACACCTTCAAAAAGTCATTGAGCGTGGCAAATGGTCCCTTATGGCATGCAGGCGGATGGTAAGTGGCACATGGGGGTTACAGCCTAAACTTATGCACTGGCTGTATGTATCTGTTGTTCGACCCGCCCTTACATATGGTTCGCTTGTGTGGTGGCCAAAGATGGAATCAACTATAGCTGTCAAAGCTTTAGCAGGAGTTCAGAGGCTTGCTCTTATTATGATAACTGGGGCAGTAAGTAGCTGTCCTGGAGCGGCACTTGACTGTCTGCTTGACATGCTACCTATTGACATTTATATTAAGGTGGTAGCAAGTAAAACAGCCCAACGCCTTAGATGCGAAAACTTATGGATAGCCTCAGGGAACAATAAAGGGCACTCTAAAATTGTTCAGGTGGTACATAATGATGAATTGGACTTACCTTCAGATCACATGTCCAAAATATACTCCTTTGGAAAGCCTTTCAAAGTACTAATACCAGATAGGAAGGATTGGTCTGGCGGAAAAGGACCCATACCCACAGGTGACTTAGAATGCTATACTGATGGTTCTAAGATCAAAAATGGGGGCACTGGAGCAGGTGTGCATTGGATGAATGGAGGCACTGGTATTTGTCTTCCAATGGGGGTGTACCCAACTGTCTTTCAAGCGGAGGTCACTGCCATTCTAGTTTGTGCTCAAGAACATCTTAACAGAGATATCAGAGACAAAACAATCAATATCTTTACTGATAGTCAAGCGACCTTAAAAGCATTAAACTCTTACGAATTCAACTCCAGGCTCGTGTGGGATTGTCTTGCTTCTGTGTCTGAGTTGGGTAGGAGAAATGACCTTACGCTTTGCTGGGTACCAGGACACTCAGGCATTGAAGGAAATGAAGCTGCAGACAGATTGGCAAATACTGCCTCTGCGACATCATTGTTAGGCCCGCAACCCTTCTGTGGCATCTCACGAAACAGTGTTTGTTCTGCGATTGCGTCATGGGCCAAGGAAAAGCATCGCAAACGCTGGGTCGATGTTCCCCTTCTTAGGGTCAGCAAGCTTACTCTGTTTAGGCCTTCCAAAAAGGTTGCCTGTGACCTCTTGAGACTAGACAGACGTAGAATTAAATTAATTGTTGAACTGATAACTGGTCATGGAAGATTCAGGAAACATCTACAACGGATGGGCTTATATGATGGTGAACCGATCTGTAGGTACTGTGATAGGTCAGAAGAGACAGCTGATCACTTACTCTTTGATTGTATTGAGCTCTCTGACGCTAGATCGATAACTCTTGGAAATATGGCTAGAGGTAGATTTCTTCCTGAGGATGAACTAATTGGGAAGCTACAGGCATTCATTGGGCGCCTCAACTTGTAGGTCAACAAGAAAGCAATTAAGTATCTGGGGTGCGCAATAATTCGATTTCGGATGAAGTGCTTTAAGGTCTCGACCTGCCCCATCAGATAAGATAAGATAAGATCTATTTATTACCGTGACGTATAACCTATGCGCGAGTGCGGTTGCTGGTGATTTTTTTAAATGTATTTATTTATTTATTATATTCTAGAGTGACATATCAACATTTATATACTGTAAACAAGAAATACGGGCGATGAGTTCCGCGTGGTTAGTTTTATGCCATCTAAGGATAGAACAATTAAAACACTAGTTGAAAAGCTTCGTACTATAGAGCAGCGTGATAACGTGGAGTTACTTAAAACTGCTTTATTTATATGTTTCAAAACCCACAGGTAGAAGGGTTAAAACACTTAAAACAAAACCCAGAGAAAGAATGCCTCGGATAATGCGTATCAATAGTATTTATTTGATTTAAGTAGGCAGAGGTGGTAGTAAATCTTTGATGCGAGCGTTGGGAATGAGTTCTTATAAGGCATTCAAAATTGGTAGGATTTTAACTCAGGCCATCACGATAGAGGTTTTGAGCTTAAACCTCTACGGCAGACATGCCCTTTTAGTACTATAGGTCATTTTTTATTTAAGAAATATGAACAAAAATATACAACCACACAGGACTATTTTTTAAAAAGAAACAATCTTATGCAGGTAATTGATTTTTAAAATGTATTCCAAAAAATAATAGGTAATAATTTTAAAATATATATAAATTAAAACGGATGGTGTTTTTGGCCTCTGGGGACCTCAAAACTAAAAAAATAAATCAGTCCTGGGTCCAGGTCTTACCATGAGACCTACGGTAATACCTTATTCCCTATATAGGCAATTCGCTAAAGAAACAGATCCAAACAGTTAAAAAAAAAATATTGAAAGAGTTTTTAATAAATTTAGCAATTTATTCTTTTGAAGATTTTTCTACCTCCCTCAGTCGACATTATCTTAATCATTCCTCATGTTTTGCTGTTTTTATCCTGTTGAAACGGTTTATTTTGACACTATTTATTTATTATACAATGTACATAAAAATGAATAAATTGAATTGAATATATACATAGTTTGAGACCTTTTGTTTGTTTAGGAGCCGTCTTCGATCAGCTGTAACTAAAGAAGGAAAACTTTCTCCTTACTCCTCTTTTCACGGAAACAAGCAAATTGTGCGATGTTCTTGGTTTGACCCTCAGGTATTTAAATTTTTTTCCTTCATGTTAATACTAGGCTTTTTCATTGACTGCACAAATTGTAGACTTCTTATACTATTATAAAATCTGAAGCTGGTTTTGGTGTGTTTTGTGTGTGGCATTTGAGGGCTTACAATAATTTTTTAAATATTAGATTGGAGCCAACTAGCTGTAAAATTATCTTATCTCATTTTGAGGTGTATAAAAAGAGAGGAAACATCAAACTACAGAGCAATGACGTGGACACTGTCTTGGATTGAATGACTTAGTGGTACCAACTAGCTTAAGTGAAAAGCAAAAATTACCGGTCTGCATACTAAAGGATTTTTTCTAAAATTTCACACAACAGGTACTATAATAGCTTTTTTGCCGGAAATCATTATAAATTAATTAATTTTGTTTCTTGCAGGGAGGGTTGTTAGTGACTGCCGGAGAAGGTGGCATTGTCAGTTTGTGGAAAGCCGGAGCAACGGAAAACGTTACAAGTCCTACACAACTTAAGGTAAGTTTTTTGGTTCGGTACTTCTTTATCCAAAATAGTTAATTGCTTGAGAGTTTAAATTAATGAATTTCATTTATATAGCTTGGATATATTTTCTTTTCAAAGCTTACTGTTGCTTTTACTCATTAAATGTGTAAAAAACATTTTCATAAAATCAAAATAACTCTTTTTTACTATAAGTTGTTAGACGATAGTGCTGTAATCTACAGGAAATGGTTAGTTATTAACACGTTGAGTGCTGACTACATCAATTGATGTAGTCGTGCCACCAGCGCTCCTCTCGGCCTACATCAATTGATGTAGTTGCGCAACCCCCACTACATTCGTTCAGTATGAGCTCAGCCATTGCCGGGTAACGTTAAAATTGTTGCTAGCCTGTAGCTTAGAATGTGAGCTTTATTTTGGTGTAGGTTGGTACTAAAATTTTCCGTAAAATCCCGTCTGACAATGCTTTTGTCCCAGTTTTGGGGATTTTCTCTCTTCAAGCCACATTGACTACTGATCCAGGCAAGCTGCTACCTTAGGGTGTTTTAGGGAACTACGTCCAATCTTGGGGTAACGTAGTACAATCACCGCTGCTCTTTTGTTATTCGTCAGATTGAAATATTTGAATGTCAATTTTGTTCGCTGTTACGTGTACCGATTTTGTTGTAAAAGGCAACAAATCAATACAGGTTAATGCGAAGAACAGTCAGCTGGTTTCAACAATAGATCAGTATAGACCAGAATGCACCACGCACTAAAGACGGAGAGGGGATAAGGTTTAGCCGGGCGGCCATCTGTTTAAATCAGTACTCAGTCCTTACCCAAGTCTCATCGTAGCTAGTTCGGTAAAATTGTTTATCGTTCGTGGAAATTAAATTCATTTCGCGGCGTTTGGTCGGCCAATCTTAAATTTCCTTAAAGTCGTTCAGCCTATATCCCTAAGGGATATAATTGCCTCGCGATCGGAAATTAGAATCAGTGTTTTTGTCAAAAAGTGCAAAAGTTCGTTACCGGCCAAACGCAGTCCGCCATTTGAAAATTTCTCAAACGATTCACGAGTTCAATTGATCGCGTGTTGTAGTATACCGGCTAGTTACGTTTTCCCATCCTTTCCCCTTTGTGTTATATTTGTGGACGTCCAAACTGTAAGTAATTTTGTGTATTTATTTGTTAAATTGAGATTTTCAGTGAGTCGCACTTTGGTAAATTTTCCTGTCTTGTTTTGTCAATTCATGTAGAATAAGCACATGTTCATAGGTTCGATCACAATTTGTCGATTTTTAAATCCATTCATATTGTTGCAATCCGCTTTATTTATTAGACTGTGATATTTCTATAGTATTAAGAATAAATATATGAAAATGTTTTTATAGGGTAATTCAGAGTTGCTTTGTAATATTTTTATATAGTATTTGAATTTTGCACAGAGTCATTATTAAAAGTACAATTCGTTACAGAGTGTCACAATCAGCATTTTAATTTGGGGGAATCATTTAATATCAAAGGAGGGATTAGGTTGCTGGTTCGGCTGAATCGGGAAGTGTTATCGGAGGCTGTGCCAGTTTGCATATAGACGAACCGCCAAAGTGCCAAATTAGCTATAAAACAATAAGCAACGTTCCAGTAAATATAATTACGATTAAACGCAATACTGTTTAATCAGTTGACCTTCGAGAATCGACCTTCATATTTACATCGTTGGCCAACGAACAGGACTTGTTTGGCACTGGTCGTCTCAAATTAAATTAAATACCACTCCTCCGTTGACACCTTCGAGATCGGTGTGAAACCGCGCCAAATATTCCCCTTTGAATAAATCCGTTCAACATTCTCAGACAGATCAATTCCGTCTGATTGTGTCACTCAAGGTCATATTTTTATATTGCACCACACAATCAGAAACTGTCAAACTGGAATCATTGTAAATCTTAAATAATGCTTAATAAATCAAATTGTACTCACTTTTAGTTCTCAATAACCTGGTAGTTCTTTATTATATGCTATAGTATCAAATTGGTAAACAAAAGGTAATTCAGTAAATAATAGGCCACTACAAAAGATTCACCTTTTAAGTGCAACACTAAACACTAGTGTAGTAGTGAGCAAGTAAATTCGGTGTAGAATTAAGACTGGTAAATTGCTCTCATTAAAGGTATTACTTTTTTGGAAGAACTACAAACAGTGCCAAGGGCGTCCCCTAAGGACCTTTTGGGAATATTTATATTTTGCAGGGCCCACTCATATTTTTTCAATAACATCAAGCTTCCACTGCCAAAAAGCTCTGTCTGATATTTTTATTTTCTGGAGTTCTTCCAACCCAGGGGCAACCAACATTTGTAAAGATTCATTTGAGAGCATTGCAAGGAGCAAATATATTTAAATACAATATTTAAATATATAAAAGTAGTAGGAGGGAGTTGTTTTTATTTTTCTTTACAAATAAATGATATCATCGCGTGATCTCTTGGTACTGTTTGTGTCTGTGCGATTCACTGAAATTGTTTAGATTATAAGAGATTCTATTATTATTGTTATTGTCGTTGTGTATTGTGCTGTAATTAATTGTCAATTGGTTTTTGTCATCGTGGAAAATTCGTTTTGTTAAAGTGAGATATATTATCGTAAATTGAATTATTTTCCTAGCGGGAAAAATGCACCAACAATTTGGGCCTGGGTATAATACAACTGCGAATGACCGACGCGATCGTATGTCAAGGAGAAATTTAGAGGAATTAATCGATTTAAATGCGCCGATACACCAAAACAATGAGCATATTCCACCAAATAATAATGGAGTTAGTTTAGGTAGACAAAATCCCGATTGTCGTTTACCGATCGTAAACGATGACGAACCATCGTCAAATAGACAAAATTCCGCTTGTCGTTTACCGATCGTAAACGATGACGAACCATCGCCAATTAGACAAAATAGTTGTTTAATGGACCTGAACAACCACGAATTGACTGAAATGCTATCAAGTACGTCGAATGCAACTCAAGATAACAGTCATGCCAACAGCTCGTCGTACGTGGATATTCAACCTTCAAACGGCGAACGTGCGAGAGAGATGGAGATAGTCACTGCACAACAACGCGCGTCATTTCCTGTAGCGACTGGTTCACTGTCCACTGTTGCCCCGGTCAGTGCCACTGTACACCACCCACACCCACACACTCGACCTCTCACATACACTCACCATGACACACACGTACACGCTCACGCATACAATGTTAGTCAATCACTTACTAAAACCGATCAAATTGTGGTAATTGAACTGATTAATAAATTGAATACAGTCGACGGCACAGATGAACTTGAATTAATTTCATTTCTCAAAAACATCAAACCAATATTTGATATTTCTCCGAATTGTCATACAGAGATCATTAAACTTATTATCCCTAAGGTCAAAGGTCAAATGTTCCAATTGTTTTTAGAAGCAGTATCGAGTAACGCACGCTGGAATGTCTTACATGACGAGATATTACACAGATTTATTCCGTCAATTAGGCGACGAGAGATTGCATCGTTTGAGTTAGATCGACCACAACAACCGAATGAAACTTTTTCAGAATACGTCGATCACATCATATCTATCGCATTCGCTTTAAAATCGTCAATGTCAGAAGGCGAGGTGATTGAGATTGCTTTGACAAAATGTAATCCAACTGTTCGAAGTCATTTTTCGTTCGGTCAAATGCCACAAAGCTTATTTGAGCTAAAATCATTCGCAAATAGAATCACTAGTTCAATGCGTGCCGAAGAGAGATATTTTGGTAATGCAAATCGACGCCCATTGATTAATTCATCGCCCAGGGTTGTGAATCAAACTCGTCACAATCCAATTACGTCGCAAAACGATCTACGTAACAGACCCAGGGAAAGAATTGTAAAATGTTATCGTTGTCAAGGTGAAGGTCATATCGCTAGGAACTGTAGGGTTTCTTTAAACTAGATTCCGACGTTGTCAAGGGCACACAACGTCGAACTGTAAAGTTATCGCCCAACAAAAGTATGCAAGCAACAGATGTATCCGCGAAACTGCCGCTAATTAAGGTATTGTTTGGCAACAATATAGACTGCCTATCGCTGATAGACACTGGCAGTAGTAGGTCATTGATGAGTAAAACGCTTTTTAATAAGTTGCGAAGTGCTAATTTGATCAAACAGTCAAGTAAAATTAATCAATCAGTAGAAGTCGCGAACCGCCAGAAGATAACTGTGCGGACAGAGGTCAAAGTTCATTTTAAGATAGATAATCTGTCATGGGACTACAACTTCTGGGTAGTCAATCAACTTCCGTTACAGTTAATATTGGGGTACGATTTTATGAAGTTTGCGCGAATGTCCGTGAATTTAGGTGATTCAACAGCGGAGTTTAAGTTTAGGGAGAGTGTTAAATCATATTGTTTGATAGGAGAAGGAGAGATCCCAACTTGTGATAAACCCGATTTAGGTGATTCACCGCTCACAGACGACGAACGAAATAAATTCGAAAACCTACTTCGACAGTTTAGCGACGTTGTCACAGACAAAATCGGCTTAGCCAAGACTGAGCCTTACAAAATTCGTTTTAGTAAGGATATTGTGCCATTCCGACAAAGACCTTACCACGTCCAGCCAGATAAGATGGTAATAATGAGAAATACTGTGCAACAATTATTAGATGAAGGGGTAATAGAAAAAAGTGTTTCAGAGTTTAGTTCTAGCGCCTTCCTAAGACCAAAAAAGGAACCCGGAAAATTTAGATTGGTAGTCAATTATAAAGAACTAAATAAGTTTATTGAAATGGACAGTTTCCCACAACCAGAAGTAGATAAAGTTTTTCCTTATTTTAAAGATGCTCGTTATTTCACTACACTTGATTTGAACAATAGCTATTACCAATGCCTATTACACCCTGATAGTAGGAAATACGCCGCTTTCAATGTAGGATATGCCTTATATCAGCCTCGTACTTGTCCCCAAGGAATAAAAATCGGTAGCCAGGTGTTAGGACGCATAGTCGACGAAA